TTATATATATAAAACTTTTGACATGCTTTGACTCAGAAGTCTGTAGTTTGTGATTACGTGTGAGCATAACAATTTTCACAGAGGCCTTACTGCATAGTATTCCATTTTGTGATAAACACCATGACGTACTTACAACTTTGTACACAAGGAAGAAATTTTCGAATTCTTTTAGCACAAACTGTAAAGTAAATCTGATTTGCAGAACTCTGTGTTGCTTTTTTCATTTGTATTTCTGACTGCATTTATTAATAGCTAGCTGCCTTTTTAGGCCCACTGAATAAAATAATTGAGCAGAATTGGTAATAGTAATATTCTGGCAATTTAGTCACGATGTTCGGGGACAGCTTATAAAATTTTCCATAGGGTTCGTGATTGATTTAATGATAGTTTAAAATATGTACCCTTAGTTTTCCCAAATAATTCCACATCTAAGAGCTTGGAGCCCCTTCCGATGAAGATCCCTTCTGTTAGAGGACACAAAGTACATTTCTGTCCTCTGCACACTCGAAGCAAGCTAGCCCAGATGAGGGAGGTGGCAGGTTTTACCCAGTTTCACACACAAGGAAATAATTTAAAACCGCTTCTTAAACTGCTGCATAGAAATCAGCATTTCAGTTTTTTCCTGGACACTTGTTCTAGGTTTGAATTTGTCATCAGCTATTAATGCTAACTGGGAGTCCAAGTTGAAATCTGTCAAAGACAAAATAATCTGAGAATTGGCCAGAATCAAGGATGTGAGGGATCATTTATATTGTCACTGATACTCTGTGTTCTGAGAGTGGTGTATACTTCAAAGGTTTATTTGCTGCTTTGCTTGTTTTTAATGCCTTGAGGGGAAAGGGCAGTGGCTTTTCTGATAGAATTTTATGAGCTTATTATAAAAACACCTTTACTATGTAATATATTAATCAAGTTTCCCATAGTCAGTGAGGCTCTGCTGGAATAAATATACAGGAAGCTATTGTAAAAATAACTCATTAAATTTCCCAAATAATATCATTATCTACTAACTTCAAAAAAAGGTAAGTAGACGCTGACGTATAGTAAGTCTTATCCTCACTAGGAAATGCTTTCCTTTTGATCCTACTGTTTCTTTGGGCCTGAGAATCTGGAAACAGAGTTCTAATGAAAACATTTCATTAGAATTAATCTGAGTAATTGTGATGACAGTAGTGAGCTGTATATTTGATATAGCATAAAATAAAAACTATTAATAAATTCTCACTGGATCATAGGCAGTAATTTGAAATCTATAGCATATGGTAGGGAAGGGATGTCACTACTAAGTCTACTGATAAAATACTGATCATTTTTTAAAAGTGCAAACTTGTTCAAAGACTTACAAATCTGATAGAATTCAATAATTTTTGTTACCTGAAAGTGGGCAGATTTTGTTCTCATATCACCTGGTTTGTGTTTTATCACACAGAGGGTTAAACTGAGTCTGAGTCTGTAGAATGTGTTTTCCTCTAAGATGCCCTTGAGCTGGGACTAGAACCCAGACTTGAAATTCTACCCTGAGGCTTAGCTGGCACTCGTTATTTCATTCAAAGTCATGTATTTGTAACAGTTTAAGTAGTTAGATTTTCAGTGATGAAAGGTTATTTTATAGGCTCCAGGTTCCTGCAGGATTTTCCTAGTTATCTTCTGCTGTGTACTGTTCAGAACAGATTGGGAGCATGGTTGATTCAAATAATCACCTAAGGGTTAAATATTATGTGTGGCCCCAGACCCCTGGTCAAGTGTTAGGGAAAATTTTTATTGATTTAAGTAGGTGTTACAGCTCAGTAAAGAATGGCCCTATGTTTGGCAAGAAAAGCAGATATGGAAACTCTACTCACAGCCAAATTTACAAGAATAAAATAATCGGTTAACGTAAGAGGAAATGGTTTTGACAGATTTACACTCTTGGGGTATATTAGAACTCCACCAAAATTCAAGATTCAAGTGCATTTTTATCTCGAAATGGAAGAATCTGACACTTAAGGTGGAAAGCAGTTTTCCGTAAAGGAAATGCTATTGACACATTCAGTCACTCCCTCTCCTGTCGTGTTTTCTGCGTGTTGTGTTGTAGTAAATGTGACGTGACCTATCAACACTCTTTTCGCTTTCTCCACTCTGTTTAAATTTAGACGTTGATCAACCCAGAGAAGAAAAGAAAGAGTGCTACTATAATCTAAACGACGCCAGTCTCTGCGACAACGTGCTGGCCCCCAATGTCACCAAACAAGAATGCTGCTGCACCTCAGGCGCCGGGTGGGGGGACAACTGCGAGATCTTCCCCTGCCCGGTCTTGGGGACCGGTAAGCATCAGCTGAGTGGTGTGTTCACACTTGGTTTGGTCAGGTGGTGTCCGTGGGCCTTGAAACGATGGCATTCACTGCCGCAGTCGACTTGAGGTGAAATTAACCTCATGAGTTTCATTCAGGGCTAGAGCTGTCACCCTCAGCCCACCGCAGTATGAATCCTTAAACTTCTCTCTGTCACAGAGGGTACTGTTGCCATCAGGTTCTATATGATATTTTGGCAGGAATATGATTCACTTTTATTCCACTTTAAAATTAAAATCAGTCTTTTTGCTAACAATGACACAGCATCATTCATAACTAGAGCTCGTAAATTTAGGCTAAGATTTTGCTTAATGGGCTCTTACGAAACCTTTAAAACATTAGACACCATAACAGTGGAGAAATAATAGTCATAACATGAAGTAAAACATGGGTAAG